TATAGACATATATACATACATTTATATACATATATGCATATATATGATGATTTTATTTGCACATAAGGTAATCGTTCCCTTTTTAAGCTTCATAATTTTCCTCCCTTACACTAGTGTAAATAATCCATCCTTAACTTATTCCTTGATACCGTCACCTATACTAATTCCATTGCTGTGTCCACGCCCCCCCCCCCCGCTCCCAAAAGAAAAAAAAAAAAATGTTCCCTAACTAAGCATTATGGCATGTTGTTTTATCCACATTTCTTATCCTTTTCTTCTCTGTGTTTGGGACGGGTCAAGACTCGTCTGAGTTATCGCACAACAAAACATAAATATTCGCTATTATATAAATTCACTTATCATGTATTCCAACCTCCAAAATCTGGGCAAAACACTACTTTTTATACTATCAACTTAATCAACATATGAGAAATGCCTAGGAATTGCTGTGCTTTGGGAACTCCTTATTTCTTTGAACTGGCTGAAATATGTGTTACATAAGTTTATGGTGATGTAATATAGTAATAGATATAAAACGAAATAAAATCAAACAGTAATGGCATTTTATTTTCGACATCAACCATGAGATAAAATTCCGATCAGGCTAACTTTTGGTTCGCAGAGCTGCGAGCTGTGGTCCGCAAGTTCGCAGTGTTTACTTTTTTGGTTGGCATAGCAGACGAAAATTATACACATCAGAAACGCTTGTCGGACGAGGAGCGTTACGATAAGGAACTTACTACTTTTCTCCAAATGACCTCTTAACATATAAACAAATAAACCACACATAGATAATCATTATAATTTACTTTATTTGTTATAACACTAAACTTTGCTAAATTGATATGCCTTTAAAAGTATAAAAATAAGTAAACAAACGTTTTCAATGGCGTCCATACATCTAACAATTAGAGGCAACGCACCTTTAGGTAATTTTCTATATTACCTTCGCCTCTCCGATATCGACAATTTTGGTATCGTTGGATTCCTCTCACTGTCCACATTGCAAATATATAGTTTTTATTGCGCGGAAACCCCCCGTTAGCGACAAACTTGGCCCCGATATCAGAGGTGGGCATGAAAGGTTCCAGGGAAAATGCGGGGTTAAATAACACTAATAATATAACCCACAGTGAAAATAACCATGGTTATTCATATGACTTTCCATTGCAGGGGACTGTGCCCCCTGCGACCCCCCCTGGGGGGCGCTGCCGCCCCCCAACCCCCGCCGAGGACACAAAACCTCCCACCACGTATTCCCGGCAGGCTAGAGCGTTATCGGCGATCTCGGAGCGGCGGACGTATTACATTTACCTCGTAACATTCCCACTGAATCAGCATACTAACCTTGACATAGTCAACATCGTATACATATACGATTGTAGTATAATCAGGATGAACAAAGTATACCATGAACAGAAGAGCGGCGGTGGCCCGCCCGCGTCGGGTCGGCGGGTTTTGCGCCTTTTTCGATGCATTTAGTTCGTGCGCTCTATCCTGCCGTGAATACGCGGGGGATATTTTGTGTCCTCGGCGGGGGTTGGGGGCGGCAGCCCCCCCCCCCTCAGGAGAACGTCATGTGAATAACCATGGTTATTTTCACTGTGGGTTATATTATTAGGGTAATTTTCTATAATACGTCCGCCGCTCCGACATCGTCGCCCCCGCTATCGGGGCCAAGTTTGTCGCTAACGGGGGGTTTCCGTGCAATCAACAGCCAATAAGGGTAGAAATGAATGTCGAGAAAGTAGGAGGATGATAATCTGAGTAATGAGACACAATAGGGGCAGGAGGTGAAGTATCTGGACAGGGAGACGTGTCAAAAGTGAGTATCCTGATGGGAGCGAAAAGGATAATGGGGATGGAGCAGATGGAAAAAGGACGGATGGGGTGTGTTAGGTGAGAATAGAAGAAGAGGATGGCGGGAACATGAAGAGGAGATTCGGCAGTTTGGATGGAGAGGGAATGGGAGTAAAGAGAATGGAGGGTGGATGAAAATGAGGAGCATTCTCTTGGGTCATGTTTAAGAAATTTTACATGTCTTCAAGAGTTTCTGGATGGGAATTGGGTGTAGAGGTTTGAGAAAGGAAGGCTTTCTTTTGGAGAGGAGAAGAGAAGACAGATATTAGAGGAAAAGAGGAAGAGGCGGGAATAGGAAAGAAGGTGGTAGATTGCCTGGCACAAATGGTAAAAGTGAGGAGGGGTAAGCGTTGGGGAAGTTGTAAAAATTGGAGTATCTGAATTCAAATGTTTAATGTTTGAAACAAATAAATGTGCTATACATCAAAGGCCATGTAGCACTTGGTAAAGTATTGTGTCGGAAAGGGTAAAAAGGAGTTAAAGATTAGGATAAAATGTATTAGATGTCAAAGATTAGACAGTATTATAGGATAGTATGGTAGTGAAAAGGGGAAAAAAGGAAGTAAGTGAACTAGAGCAGAGATTAGTAGAAAGGGGAGGGTTAAGGCAGTAGGGCGATTAAGTGAATTATAGTGTATCTCTCACTGGGGAAGGTATAGGAACAATGTTCAAGGAAAATAGAGATGGCTGTTGGAAAAGGAGAAAAATCTGGGGAGAGGGGAAGGTGTTAGATGCCAAAGATTAGAGGGTGTTATAGGAAAGTATGGTAACGAGCAAGGATTAGTAAAATGGGAAGGTTAAGGGGGCAGAGCGATTGAGTGAATTGCACTGTATATGTGACTGGGGAAGGAATAGGGACATTGTTAAAGGAAAACAGAGGTGGCTATTGGAGAGTAGGAGGATAATAATCCGGGGATGAGAAATGGGGACCGGGAAAGTGGTGAAGTATCAGAAAGAATTTCTGGAAAGGACATTGTTGTGATAGAGGGGATTCGCGTAGTATTCAAGTGGGAGCGGTAGGGAGGGTGGGGTAAGTTGGGAGGGTGTAGGAGGAAGGGGTGGAGGGAACTTGAGGAGGAGGAAGATAGATATCTGCAAATACTTTAAATGTAGAAGGCGTAGAAACAGAGGGATTGGGGGGGGGGGCGAGGGAGCGGAGTGTTCTTTATGGTTATCTTTATGAAGTTTTGGATGTCTTCAAGGGTTTCTGGGGGGGTGAAGAGGGCAGAAATAAAGGTTTTCTTATGAGGAGAAGACGAGATAGATACCTGAGGAGCAGAAGAGGAGGAAGGTGTAGGAGAGTGTGGAGTGGAACATTTAGGTTGCCTGGTGCGACAAATAAAGTGAGGAGGGGAAGAGGTAGACATTGGAGTAGATTTAGATTGATAGATTGATAGAGATTTAGACTGGAAAACGAATTTGACTGAGGGATAGGGTGAGTAGACGTAGGATGGTTTAGGATATAGGGGAGATGCAGAAACATTGTGAAGATGTTGGGGGAGCAGAGCGGAAGACTGTTTTGGAATAAATTGAGAGAGAAAAACCTCGTCGTCGTCCTTCTTGTCTGGCCTTAAGTGAGTGAGGCCTAGTTTGAAAATGAGAACTGCTACTTCACATTCGAGTTCATAGGCAGGGCAGCTCTTATGAAATACATTATGGGAGTCTCCACAATTGGCACATAAAGGGCAGCGGGCTATGGAGCGACAGTGTTTGGCCGGGTGGCCGAAACGCCAACGTTTCTGACATTGACGAGGAAGGGGTCAATATAGTCGGACATGGTAGGACAATCCAGGCAGATAAATAGGTCATTTTCAGTCTGACCAGTCCCTGTTGTAGATAGGACAAGTATTTGGAGGTAAAAAAAAGAGTTCCAGTACAATTATTAATAGAGAGGTGAGGTTCGGCAAGAATAGGTTTACTAGCGAGGTCAGTTAGAGTAGATAGTGCATGAGCTTGGGATTCAGACGTAACTGTGACAAGGCGTGAACGACCGAAGCGACTGCGAAAGGTAACCTTGCCTACTTGTTTTAGGAGGTACTGTTGAAAGAAAAGGGTATTCTCAGAATAGGGGGCTATGAGGGAGATCACAAACAATCGATCCTACTTAGCTGGGCCAAAGAGAGTACTAAGAAGGTTTGCAGAGGTAAGGGCAGTAGAAGGACGAGGGCGAGGAAATGGGGTGGTAAGTAGTTCCAGTAGTAATAAGGAAGAGGGGTAGACACTAAAGAGGACTGTGCAGTAGAGATGGAGAGGAGAATGTTGGGAGAGAACGGGTGCTTTCTGGAAGTTTAATAATATCCTGGGTGGATGTTTTGGAATAGATAGAGTTGTCAGTAAGCGTCAAAGAGAGGGTATTATTATCAGTGGTTGGAACCGTGGTCAAAGAAGGGGCAGGGGTCGGAAAACCATCAAAATTATATTTAGATAGGCTAGTTGATGAAGGGGCAAGTCTTAATGCCCTTATTAAGGGTAAAGAATCTTCATTATTGGCCATGGTGAGTCTGAATAAAATGGGGAAAAGAAACGGTCTACCCCTCTGGGTCCCATTAAGGCGTAAGGGCTAGGCAATTACCCAAGGGAATACCGTGCCTATGGCTCCTGGAGGCTGTTCATGACTGACACAAAGCCAGCCTTTCATCCTTCCAGCATGCCTTTCACACCTTAGGAATGGGATAGAAGAAGCGGATGAAGAAGATATAGAAGAGGAAGGGAGAGACGACAAGACCAAGCAAAATTAGTTTAGGCGAGGGCTGAGGCCCAAGGTAAGGGTGATCCCCTACATTTGACCTCAGTCTCTGTCTCCTAAGCCATCCCATGACAAAAATGAGCAAGGTATTGGGAGGGATCTGAATTCAAAATGGCAAAAGAATTTGACTGGGAGCGAGGAAGTTGTGGTAGGATGGTAGGTTAGCTGACAAAGAGATAATACTTAATGTCTCTAAAAAGGATACAAAATCTTAATCACTGGCCATGGCAAGTCTGAAATATGTAGGGAAGATAATGATCTACCACTCAGTGTCCCCATAAGGGTAGACGACTAACCAAGAAAATACCGTGCCCATGACTGGTCAAGACTGACACAGTACAGCTCTCATACCTTAGGAAGTGGACAGAAGAAGGGATTGGAGAAGAGAAGGAAAAAGAAAGAGGAAGAAGAAAAGACCATGCAAAATTCGTTGCACTCAGGGCTGAGGCCCAAGGATGGGGTGATCCCCAACACTGGGCCTCAGTCCCTGTCTCCTATGCTCCCAAATGAAAACAATGAGAATGGGACATGGGAGTTCCTTACATATCTCACCAACACCGACTCTTACAAGCACTCATTCTTCTGATGCACCATAAATAACGTAACAGATTACCTCATCGCATTATAGAAACAAGGACACTTACAGCCTTCACAGACAAATTTAACAAACATATGACAAAACATGCACTTACACAAGCACCACCACTTACATCCTTTCCCCCCAACCCCTAGCAACCAACCAAATATGCGCTTATCAGATCCCTACCCATTCAATAGTGAGTTACAGAGATATATTTAGAACTTTGGCAAAGAATGTAGCATGAAAATGTGCAAATGCTTTACAATGTTTTTCAGAATTATATGCTACATCAACACCTCTCTATGTTATGAAGAATAATTGTTTATACGATTTTGCACATTATATAGTTTCCTTGAGGTCTGATGCACTTTTTTTCTTTGGTTTGACTGATATTCAAAATGGTTACATATAAATTCAATTCCAGCTTGAAGCCTTACATGTTATGATCATAAGCTGGAATTGAGTAGAAAAACACTTGACAAAAGCCTATGTGACAATAAAACAAAAGATCTCAAACAAATGTTTAATAAAATTATACACACATACCTATGCAACATTTGCTCTTCTTGCACCAGACCAAAAATTGCGTTGTCATGGGTCTATGAGACCTATGAATATACAAAGTTTATTTCATAATTTACCTGGATGCATCCTACCATAAAATTACAGCAATCAATTAAAAATGCTTCACTATGATATCTTAAAAGTTTCCTCCCACCCTGCATCACTACAAATTGCAATGGAAAAAGAATAAAACATAGGAATAAACATAACTTTCCTACAGATATTCCACTTTGTATGCTAGAGATTAAGTGTTATCCTCATCAAGAAGACTTTGGTTACACTGAGAACACTTATCATTATGTACATGTCACAAAACACCAACTAGAGGCATACACTGCTGGCTATAGGCCCATTATTAACCTGTGGCAGGTTATACAATACTTCTGTTTTTCAAACACTTTGTCATACAGGTTATGGTAAAGTGACTAAATGAAATCACTCCAGTATATACTTTCAGAGACACTGCGACACGGACAATACTGATATACATGTTATTCTAATTATTTACTTCCACAAATTCCTTTTTTTTTCATCTTTTTTTACACAAACAAGTTAGAAGAAGTAACAAATTCTCATTAATTACCCAACTTATACTCTTTTTACTTGTTTGATTTTTAAAAGTTCATTATATGAGATAATAAACCTTGAAAATGGGATAAAGTATGAAACAGGTTACACACAAATATCTTAGATCTTACACAGATATTTAATGATAGGGATTTCCATATCAAATAATATATTTACCACATATCTGGAATACCATACTAAGGCTGTCAGGTTATACACACGAAACGTAATTATTATGAGACAAAAAAGGATTCTAATTGTATGCTTTTTGGTGATTAACATGTAACTGTTGGTAAAGATTTTCTAAATGAAGATTATGTACACTGTGGGGGGTTCAAAGGCAGATCACCAGGATGTATGTAACAGTTGGGTGATAAGAACAGTCTTACAGGAGTTAAATATCAGCTGTTCTGAAAGTCCCACGTCACTCCCCCTCGCACTTCTTTTACAAAAACAATGCAGGTAGAAAAGTAAAAAAGTGTAAAAAGTGTTATGCTGTATAATTTGTATACATACTTCAATGGAGTTTATTCTAAAATCATATATATTTACTTTTCAACTCAACTAAACATTTATAATTGTTAAAGGAAACAATGAAAAAAGTATGCAATAATAGTCATCAGAACTATGTAAAAAGTTACCTGTGTATAAAGAGACTACAGAACCCTGCTTAAAACTGTATTCTATTTGTGCTGTTGAGTGCACTGTAAAACGAGAAGAGCTTAATTCTCCAGTGGAAAAAAGGTGTTCTTTGTAAATGTTGTATAATGCATTGTACAAAGCCAAATCAGTACCTATGTTAAATACAAAACCTGCCTATCCCTATAAAATTCAGCTGAAACCCATCATATACCGATATATTGCTCAACGTACATGATCAAATATAGGCCAAGATGGCAGTGTTACAGCAAATATCCATCACTAAATTCAAGGCTTTGGTTCGGAGTGTGTGGGATGGGGGAAATTACGGTCTTCATTATGACAGACTAGCAAATCAACGTACATCAATCCCTGGGAAGAAATTTTCATTCCGAGCCACGAGACAGACTTCAAGAGGTGGAGAGTATTCAAAGGAAAGGTTCACAACCTGAAGAACCATAAGAGAGTTAAAACTATCACTGACTTATTTCAGGCAAAATGTAACTGGTAATGACTACTTGAGGAATTCATAGATATAAAACCATACACCCGAAGCATGCCAGTAAAATTACAGGTCCTACTGTCCTAGTATTCTAGCTGTTCTGCTAAGCTCTGAGTAACCTTTGTGACCAATGCATGTGAGCTGTGTTCTTAAGAGTAAGTAGAAATTGTGAAGAACAACAGTAACAATAATATCAAAAGCATCCATAAAAACTAGATAACCCATATATATATGCCTTGATAACAAACTCAACATTGTCTTGAAACTATATTATACAAATAATTTTTTAAAAGTAAAGAAAAAAAAGAAGCCTCTTCCAAGAATGATCTTTATAAAAGACAATATGTCGCTGGATTTCCTTTCCAATATCCTTCAACTCTCAATTCAACTACATAAATGAACTTGGTCTCTATTCTATACAAATTGTGACTAACATTAGAGAAATTATCTTCCTGAAATCTTTTCCTATATTGTATATCACAAACAATTTTTCAAGTGTAAACAATGACTATGGTCATTATAATATCAGTGGCTGTATGACTTATAAACAATGCACTATATATCTCTTTATATATATATATATTTATACGATTATTTATATCTATATACATGAGTGTTGAATACAACTTTCACTAGACCTGAAGACCAATGAAAGTAGAATTTTTCTTGGAAAAGTGTAATTATCTAAACTCAAAGCATGATGTGAAAAAATACAACACTAACTCAATTTGTTACTGTTATGACAAAGATCTAAATGCTGTTGGTGCATTGGGATACAGTTCAGCCGGCATAATCTTCCTCCTTACTTAAGCTGACCTCAAAATTACACATGCAGCATCATGCACAATGCTCTTTCTCTTTGTGCTTCATGACGAGACTTTATTCAAGTCTTTGTACTTCGTGCGGTGATTTGCAATACCTATAACCGTCCAAAGCCTTGTACACTGCAAGGGTGACTGGCTAATTCTTAATCTAGGATACTCTCATCTATAAATCATATTACTGTGTACATACTTAGACAATTTTAACTCCAAGACCTAGTCCACTTTCTGCTGCTGTGACTTGGAAGAGCATAATTCAAGGCAGGGCCCAACCAAAAGCAGGGGCAAGAAATTAAGTCCACTGTGAGACGGAATCCTTCCATTGATATTCTTAGAAATATGATCTGCGTACATGAGGTAATTATGTACTGTTGGTGGGGGGGGGTTTATCTTCTATAACTGAATGAACACAGGTTTGCTTTATTATATACATAACTACCTTTGGTAGTAATTTACTCTTAAACTATAAACTGAGCAGATGGTAACCTAACCACTTTAAACTCATATTCCAAAGAGACAATTCCACTACAATTTTACACCAATTTCCAATATGTGAGTCAGTTGTAAGTTGAAACAATAATAAAATCTTGTATTCCTTCCTGAATGATTTCATTGTGAATATCAATGTATCTCCAATTACCGGACACTAAAATATTGCAACATCAAATGATTAAATGACTTTATATAAAGACCCAAGTGGAAAGTATGATTCACCATGGATCAGTGAAAAAAGTGGGGGAATTTATACATCTTAAATGCTCTATTAGCAAATATTCTGAAAGAAAATGAGAACCATTCTTTTTTTTCTTCTTTAAATACTCATAAAGAAACATCCCAACAACTCCTCTCTAAAACAAACATGTTTAAGAGCCATAACTGACAAAAGAGTTTATATATCATTCTAGTTTAGACTCCCCTAAGAGAGATATGCATGAAACAGTGGGTGTCTGCCTAGGGAACACACAACAGGAGTCAACACTTCAACCCCACTGACCAATCTACATAATACTAGGATTGTGGTGTTATACTGACAATAAAGTCTTGATCTGCTTTGGCGTATTCTCATCATTAAGGTGCTTGGTCGTATATCTGAAAAACGTAACACAAATATCAAACAATGAAGCTTATTACTTCCTCTTTACATATTTATTGTACTAATAGCTCTAACAAAAACTAATTCAAAGGTATTGGAAAGTAATAAGTCAAACAGCAATAACTAATAACAAAGAGCCTCTTTTCTTGATACACTCAAAACCTTGAAATCAACATCATGAAATCTACATCCACAGTCAAACCAAAACAACACAAAAAATAAACACTGCCTGATATGAAATAGAAAGCAGGTGAAAAAATATTTTTATAAAGGAACCCAATATGATCAATCATTATTTCAGCAATGGTTACAAACTCACCTGAGGGCATTAAGTAAGTTCTCTGAGCTGGATGCAGGCTGGTCCTTCAGAACCTTCACACAACCTTTCACCTGGGGGAGGACAGAGATGTGTAATTGGAAGAGTAACATCTATTTGAACATTGAGGGAGTTAATGATCACAAGAGACACTAAATAAAAATAAAATTATTGATGATTTGGATTATTTTAGCTTATTTGTTTACGATGATCTGATTCCCGAAATCTGTGAAAACTTGATCAACAATGTAATGCATTTGCTGCAGACAATTCGGAGTTGTACATAAAAAATGCTGTGCATGTATAAAGTCTTCAATAACAATGACTTCTTTGTAGAACTTCATTTATTACTCAACATAAAGAAGCTAGATTTCTGAACTGTGCAATTTTAAGGCTCTCTTAAAGTAAATCTGTACTTCCATTCTTAACTTCAAATTAAATAGAATCATAATATCATATACAGAAACAATTTCCAAAAATAAATATTTTTACAGTGCCAATCTTTGCTTCTTTCTTTCTTTTCTTTTCACAAAGGAGTAGAGTTTCATCCTTTGAGAATTTAACTTACATCAACATTGGAAGCCTTAACGAAAGCACCGTGGGGGTGAACATGGTCGTACAGAATGATCAGGGCAACCATCACGCGGAGGATGAAAAGTTGTGTTTCCTCTCGCCTGAATCTTGCTATTAAGTCTCTGAAATAAAGAGGACGTGCATTTAAGGATTAAGGATTTCAAACAACTATCAAACAGATGAAAGATTCTGGCTTAAGAATTACATATCAAAGGAGGACCTCGCTAATCCTTCATTCCAATTAAAAAAACACTGTATCAACAGATGTATCTCACCAGATACCATACAGCACGTTATAGTTAAATTCCTTTACTTTATATCTTTATCACTCTTTCCTAATTTATATATCATTTTCACATTTAGCATAAAAGGTATGGAACAAGAAATGTAACAACATGTTATTCTATTAGATAGACAATATTCATGTCTATTTCCCGAATGTATTGTAGTTACAAAGAGGAAACACTTAATATCTAATTCATTACAAGCACAAATATTAAGGCAACTTACGGATTCTCCAACATTCTCTGGCAGACCTTGGCCATGGTGCCAAGGGTTTCTGTGGTATTCTCAAGGGGAATCTCTTTGTGCTGTAAAAAGCATAAAGCATTTCACATGAAAATGTACATATAAATATACTTTCATATATATATATATATATATATATATATATATATATATATATATATATATATATATATATATATATATATATATATATATATATATATATATATATATATATATATATATATATATATATATACATACATATATACATATATACATATATACATATATACATATATACATATATACATATGTATACATATGTATACATATGTATACATATGTATACATATATATACATATATATACATACATTTATATATATATATATATATATATATATATATATATATATATATATACATATATACACATACATACATACTGTATGTGTCTATATTTGAAATTTCAATAAATAATAACAAATATATGATAACAAATAAAAGGGACTGTGCAGTCAAAGCATTAATATCTCTATATTTTCCATGAACAAGTTTCTATTCTATGAATATTTCTTAATCAGTCCACATTTCCTCCCTTACTGATACACACAATTTCCACGGACTTTGAGCTCACCTCGGTTACAAATTTCGAAGTAGCTTCACTGAGGATCTTAAGCATGGGCGTGGAGTTAGCATAGAAGAGACTCATTTTATTTGCCAGTTGGTGGTCAATGGTTACGTCGTCCTCCCCAGGGTCCGTACCATTGTTGGACTCTAGCTTGCCCCTCATGACTGTGCGTCGGTAGTAGCTGAAATCGTTCTGGATAGCTGGGGTTGTCATCTGGATGGCAAGAAGTAATATCATGAGCATAGGGGTTTTTATTTAATATTGTCACAAGTATATTCAAGGCTAACCTACAGTTCTATCGCCATGAAAAATGTTGAACAAATACAAAGTAAAAACCACAAAATCGAGACAGGATCATTTCAAAGATAAAGTAATGGAACTCTACAAACTATTGCATAATTTTCATTTTACCATGTTTTAAAATTCATAATTTCAAATATGATTTACCCAAGATTGATAACCTTAAATATAATATCTAATTTCATAAGGTATGCATACATATATTTAGACATTAAATAATGGCAATAAAAATACATGAATACCAAGAATATTTTGCACTTCCTTTAAGAAAACATACAATTCACCATGTCAAATCTAGTAAATTGCAATGCAATTCTTTCAATACATAATGAAATAAGTTATTGTTTTCTATTTGAAAGCTGTCTGAGATCTTGTGCCTGAACTAATACCATTATTCACTTAACAAAATGCCACAAAGCGAAAAAACATCAAAACATATTGACAAAACTTATATAACCTGCAAGCACTTTTATTCAGGAAGAAAGCAAATCAAAGCATCACAGAAAAAACAACCTTAAGCTCGTCAAACTTGAGTGTAAACTCCAGAATCTCCGCAAACTGTTTGACAAGTGCTTGCTGTGTCTCCAGGTGTTGTGTTGGAGTTACTTCTGGCCCACATAATTCAGCAAGGATCCGCGGCACGATCACCTCTGTTGGGAGTGAAGACAGATTAATAAAATGAGTAGATGATGGAATGGCAAAGATGATTAAACAGAAAGCAGAAGGAACAGAAAGGGAGCTGTAGAAGTTCAGAAGACATGGTGGTATTACAAAGTACAAAAAATGATGCCACTTGCTC